GGTCTTGGGTGAATAACACTTTAATATCAAGTTAAAAATTATTGTATACTACTTCTTTGGTAAACAAAAACATAAATTTTCGGGCTGCCGATAATCAATCGATGAAAAACTAACTAGGAAAAAGACCGTTTGTTTTCTGACCTCTCAGTTTGTGTTTGTGCGTGTACAAGGATACTCGTCTAGTACTATGTACATTAAAAATGATGTAAGATCACCAGTAGCATACAGTAACACCTCATTATGGTTATGGAAGGTAAAACTATAAATTATAACAGTGTAAATATAAAATTTATATCTCAGAGATGTTCGCAGTAGTCGTAAAAATAATCGAGTATAAAATCACCTGAAAAACGACCTTTTAAAGTTTGAATTATTTTTAGCAGAATTACAAGGAACACCAACAAATAAAAAATATTTCTAGTTTGTTATTGTAAACATTCCCCTCAGGCATTATATTATTAAAAGTAGACAAGAATCTGCGTTCCTAAAGTCTGAGACTTTTTTTAATACCGGTTTCTGGATTCATACGCAATAAATTTGATGATACCAGTTCTCCAGATTACATTTGGTCACAATATCGCAATTTTCTCGTTCGTACCCAAATATTCGAAAGTACGACGGATATTTCGACGCTTTAATACGAAAACATGCTATCTCAGATTTCGGTTGGAAAACGTGCTTTCCCAAATTTCAGTTGGAAAACATGCTATCTCAAATTAAGCTTGGAAAACATGCTAACTCAGCTCTTTAGGTAAAAACATGCTATCTCAGTGTGACTAGAAATTTAAGTTGGCACACTGAATGATTGAAACCATGCATTTATAATAAACTTATATACCTAATATAGTTTTAAAAAAGTAAGGAGTGTGTATGTTCAGGTACACTGTTTATTTTATTTTTTTTATTCAACATTTTACAATTAATTTTGTAAAGTTACACTGTTATAAACGACAAAATTGTTAATTAAAAAAATAGAATAATATGCAGTATGCTACAACACGTACATTACTCGAAGTTTTTTGAAATAACAAATTATAAAAAAAAATAGTGTATACTTTAATATATAAAAATGTTTGTTATTACTTAAAATTATTCGATTTTTTTCATACAAGTTTGCTTTGATATCAAAATTAATAGCGTACTTTTATCTGATTTATAGTTGCTACTCTTGATACACTTTTTTTCTTTTTCACAAAATCTGGGATGCACAATTTATTCTGAAAATAATTTTGTATGCCTAAGGAGACTGCAATAAAAAGAATTATATAGTGGACCAGGCTAGGCCCCAAACTCCAGGTTCGAATCGTTCTTACTGCACCACAATAAAAACAAATGGCTTTTTAAGGGTACGGTAGTCGCGTGCTTACATAGACTTTGGAAAAGAAATGCAGGTATGCGACACTTTTATTACCGGTATTTTGTGATCTGCTGATGATAAACATGTGTGCATGGGGAATCGCGGAAATGTGCACGTGCAAATCATATGCGCCCGTCGCATCGATATATGTATACATATCATTCAACTGTATACAGTATATTTATATTCTGGTTATTATGTTAACTCTATTAACAAAAGTAAGAGTAGTGACTATAAATCAGTTAAGAGTGCGCTTTTAATTTTTATATCAAAGCAAACTTGTATGAAAAAAAATCAAATAATTTTTATATATTAAGGATTAAGCTATACTTACACTATTTTTTTATAATTTGTTATTTCAAAAAATGTCAAATAATATACGTGTTGCACCATACTGCATATTATTCTATTTTTTTAATTAACAATTTTGTCGTTTATAACAGTGTAAGTTTACAAAATTAATTGGAAAATGTTGAATAATGAGCGGTGTCAATCATTCAATGTGTCAACTTAAATTTTTAGTCACACTGAGATAGTATGTTAGCACGTTTTCCAAACTTAATTTGAGATAGCATGTTTTTCAACTGAAATTTGAGATAGCATGTTTTCCAATCGAAATCTGAGATAGCATGTTTTCGTACTAAAGCGTCGATTTGATAATGCCTATAATGGAGGGTGCTACAAAAAAAGTAAGGTAGCTAATTTTCAAGGCGAACCGTTTTAGGTGCATTGAGGTTTTCCTTGTGACATTTACTTCGTTTTCAAGACACAGAGTATCAAAACTGCATATAAAACATTAAGTTATTAATAATTCGGTTGTTTTTTAAGGTGCTAAGTTGAAATTTTGCATAGACTTTGCATAACTTTAAGTCTCATTATTTTCATTCAAAGAATCTCTGATTAACGGTTTGAATTAGATTTTTGTAACACCCATTTTGCATATTTTCTGGAAATTTCTGTCCTTATTTGTCACCTAAAAAATCTTGTATCTTTTGAGAAATTAGATTCTACGTAGACAAATATCACAAGCCCCATTAGCGAATATTAATAATATCTGCTTTACCAAGCTGTTTTTAATTTTCCTGAATTTTTTGGTATTATTTAGTACCTACCCATTTAGGATATTCTTTGTAATTTTTTTCAAATTTTTATTTCGTTATGAGCTTTTGAATACTTTTGATAACAAAATATCAAATACCTGTAACTTGGTGAAAACTAAAAATATCATAAACATTTTTTCTATTTTGTTCGTTTTGAGATGTAGTTTTATAAAAAAAATAATTAAAAAATTATAGTTTTATTTTTTTTTGAGGTGTTCTTTGATTTTGTGCTTTTGAAATAGACTGGCGTTTTTTTTTCTTCGAAAAATTCTAAAAAAATCTCATTATGCAAATTTCTAGTTTAAGTTCTGTAGTGGGATTTTTTTATTCTATTTTATTTTTTTTGAATAGGTAATAAGAATTTTTTCTTGGTACTTTAATTTTTACAGGTAGTCTACGCTTTATAGCAAATTTTAATAATAAATAATAAATTCATGTCGGTATGCCAAATTTGAAGTACCGATTTACTTTTATATTTTTTGTTTTGGTTGATAAAATAATTTGCAAAACTAAAACCGATTGCCAACAAACTTGGGACATTCACACGACTTCTCACCCAAAAAGGGCATGGAGGAGTCGAAAATATCAAAGTAGGCCGATTGCTTTCAAATTTGAATTCTGAACAAATTTCCTTGAAAATTTTACACCTGTCATTTTAAGCCAATCAATTAGGTACATACTGTAATTTCGACAGTTGCCCATGGCAACCTTCAAATTTTTCGGATTTTTTTTTCCTCCTGCCAAGCTAGGCAAACAAAATTAATAAGTGGAAATTTTTTTTGACAGCTATCATATGGTTCAAAAATCAGTACCTATCCAGAATTTTGCTTTGTAATGTTTTTATTTATTTTAAAATAATAAATAGATACAAATAATTATTTACCAAATATTTGTTCCGAAATTTCTTCTATTAACGCTAAATGTTTTTGAAATTCTGGCTGGAACTCTTCTCTTCGCAACGGAGAGTAACGAGGAGCATAATTATTACCTTTATTTCCATCAGATGTATGTGTTTCATAAAATATATGTAATAATTTGATGAAATTTTGTTCTGCTGAGTCCTGGTTTTACGTAAAAAAGATGAGATATCTTCCTCCAAAATCTTTTGAATAACTGCGAAAATGTTTTCTTGATACGTACTGATTCCAGTTTTTTTTCAGTAAATATGGCAAATACTTTAAATTTTTATGAAACATAAGAATGTCCCCTATTTTGGTGCAAAAATTTTAAATTAGTTTTTGGGTGTTCACTGCCATAATTTAATTGTAAACAACTAGAAGCTAGAGAAAAGGGCTGTCTACGTGACGTATAGACGATTGTGACATCACAAGCCTAAGCCTACTTGATTGCAGTTATGATTTTTTAAGAATCATTCATATATTGCCATAGACATAGGTTTTCCACAAAAACTTACTTTCCTTCTATTTTAGTAATACTAGTAATACTGCAAACATAAATATCTGAATTCAAAAATTAAATGCCTTTTTTATTACTAAAGTGAATGTAATGTGCTGTTTTTTATGTTTAATAAGGATCATTAATAAACTGTCATAGACATCGCATTTCAACAAAAACTTACTTTCCTTCTATTTTAGTAATACTATGTGAATTGTACTGCAAAGATAAATATTTGAATTTAAAAATTAAATGCCTTTTCTATTACTAAAGTGCAAGGAATATGTTTTTTTTTTATGTTTTAATAAGAATCATTGATAAACTGCCATAGACATCACTTTTCTACAAAAACTTACTTTCCTTCTATTGCAAAGCTAAATATTTAAATTCAAAAATTAAATGCCTTTCTTATTACTAAAGTGAAAGGAATGTGTTTTTTATGCTTTAATAAGAATATTTGATAAACTGCCATAGACATCGCTTTTCTACAAAAACTTACTTTCCTTCTATTTTAGTAGTACTAAGTGCATTGTATTGCAAAGGTAAATATTTGAATTCAAAAATTAAATATCTCATTTATTACTAAAGTGAAAGGAACGTGGTTTTTATGTTTTCGAAATTTTCATTTCCAAAACGAGCCATTTTTGAATTTTAAAAAACTCGTGAAAAGCGATTAAATTATGTGACGTTTAAGAAGAAAAAAATATGTCATGCACCACAAAACAATGTCTATCTGTCAAGCCAACTTTATTTTGGCGAAATAAGTTTCAAAATGAAACATGTCAAATTTTTAAAATAAATTTTGGTTGTAAAATTTTCTTACCGAATGCCCCACGTCCTTGAATTAATGTCCGGAAATTTTTCCTCAATCATGCATTTTTCTAGAAAATTTTCAAAAAATGCGTTCCTTCGGAAAAATTTCCGGAAATAATTCAAGCACTAGGGAGATTATAAGTGATATTTTTTTTTAACCAATATCGATCGATGTTATAAAAGTTTGCACTTGTTGCACTTTTTAAAGTTAAATTATTGCGTCATGTCTTATACTTAGAAGCTCTGTTTGTCACTGTCACTGTCACATTTAGATTTTTTATTTGACTTATTTCAACCAAATTATACAATCGAACTCAAAACTGTGCAATTTTCAGGAAGACGAAAAATCTAAGATGCATCCAAAAAAGGCTTACTTCATATTCATGTACCTCTGCGGAACGTCCCTGTTCTTCATAGTGGCTGGAATAGTTTTACTGTGCATGTGGGGATCGTTATACGATTACATCATCAGGAGCAACCTAATTTTAAAGCCCAATTCGACGGCTTACAGCGTGTGGGTCAAAAATCCCGTACCACTGTCCTTGAAACTGTTCGTTTTCAACTGGACCAATCCGAAAGATATCTACGACAACAACACGAAGCCCAAATTTCAGCAATTGGGTCCTTATTACTTTTCAGAGACTAAAGAGAAGTCTAGTGTGATTTGGAACGACAACGGCACAGTTACTTACAAGAATTTGAAGAAGTGGTACTTTGAAGCCAGTTTGAGCAATGGAAGTTTAACTGACACTGTGACCTCCATCGATCCTGTGGCTTTGGTAAGACCTCTTCATTTTATTACTGTTGATCCTATAAAAGCGACTTTATTAGTAAATGTTTTCTGCACAAGGTGCTCAAAATTATCAATTAGCTTGAATATGACAGGTTAAGGTTTTGTCCTCCAGAGCTTTCATGAATGCCACCAAGCAACCGTCGAGCATAGGCAACCAACATTATATAAAAAAAAACTTAGTGGAGTGGTTGAAGGGGTCGCAGATGTAATTAAATAAAATTGATTAACGTGAACTATTTGATACTTTAATGCCTCTTTGAGTAAACGACATACTGAACGTACAGACCTTAGACCAATCAATATGTCTACATTATCAAAATTGGTGGAAAAATCTACCAATAAACAAATAGGATCTCATTCGAACATATTATTTAAAATATTGCCTAGACATAAATTTGGATTTTTATCCAAATTGCAGCTGTTTTAGAGCATTTTTTAAGTAATAGAACACATTATAGAAGCAACTGATAATAGTAAGTTAACTGCCTTAGTTTTAGTGGATTATATTTATACAGGGTGTTTCTTAATAACGTGCTAATATTTAAGGTGGTTATTCTTAGGTCCAGAAAAAATCTTCATATGAACATGCAGGTATGTCCTAAAAGTCTTAACTTTTGAACTACAGGGTGCTAAAGTTTTATGAAAAAACATTTTTTTATTATAACTTTGGTATTACTGCTGTAAACCAATGTTTTGAGATGACCCCATAGGAACTAATCTAAAGCATTGAGGTCCGGGGGTCTAGGTGGCCATGACTGTGGTCCGCCGCGACCTATCCAGCGATTATTGTAATTTTGGTTTAAATATTCGCGCGCCAGAGCGCTGAAGTGCGCTGGTGTTCCGTCGTGTATAAACCATAGTCGATTTCTTACTAAAATGGGAACAACCTCCATCAAACCTGGCAATTCTTCTTCGAGAAAATGCCGGTAATTATGTCCATTTAACCTCTCATGAAGAAAATACGGTGCAATTAAATAATCACCGCATATTCCAACCTCAGAGTAATAAGTAAAGGGGAGGCCGCATACCCTATTTCAGTACACAATGTAAACATGTAACCTCAACCTATTGTATGTTGATAAACAAATGATACATAAGTAAACACAATGGTCCCTGGTACAGTGGCGTACCGAGTTTAGGTTTAAAATCTATCATAATATAAGGAAACCATAAAAATTATACTCTGTAATAGAATAAAATCAGAAGTGCTCGATTATTTAAGCTTTCATGTGTAATAAATAGACAATAAATAGGAAAAAGTTAATGGTTTCTTCAAAATCTATAATTAATATTTTAAAAACATTTCCAGAACAAAAGAGTGACTAAAGAAAACTCCTCGATTGAAACTATCATTATACTATAGCTATAGCAATGTCATTGCCTACTATTAATTCTATTATTTCATAGTAGGCAATGACATTGCTATAGCTATAGTATAATGATAGTTTCAATCGAGGAGTTTTCTTTAGTCACTCTTTTGTTCTGGAAATGTTTTTAAAATATTAATTATAGATTTTGAAGAAACCATTAACTTTTTCCTATTTATTGTCTATTTATTACACATGAAAGCTTAAATAATCGAGCACTTCTGATTTTATTCTATTAAAAAGTGTAATTTTTATGGTTTCCTTATATTATGATAGATTTTAAACCTAAACTCGGTACGCCACTGTACCAGGGACCATTGTGTTTACTTATGTATCATTTGTTTATCAACATACAATAGGTTGAGGTTACATGTTTACATTGTGTACTGAAATAGGGAATGCGGCCTCCCCTTTACTTATTACTCTGAGG